TGGAACTTTTGTGATAAGGAGAAAACAATATAGAACCCCTGCAATACGATGACAACTAGCATTTTGACAATTACTTGGTAATTTTGATAATTAACGTTTGTTTGAAGCACACCTGCACCTGGGTGTTTTCTTTCACCATTGGGTTTGTGTACTCACAGGAAGAAGCTTATTCTTACTATTAAAATTAGGAAAAAAAGGATGATGAATCTTTTACTATATCTATACAATGTACAAAAAAAATTTACAATATAATCAATATGTGGATATAAAGTTGTAGCTAGCAAGACAGGCTTGTTATCCTGCTGACTGGTTTAGAAACAGGATGTGTTGTTTCTTCAGGAGCTCTTCCTAAGTCTCTTGGGTCAGAAACTCTCTCAGATGTGAGAGTGCAGCATCTGATACAGAAAGGCCTTGATCCCCCCAGGGGTTATAGAAAACTCTTGGGGAGGAATCAAGTCTTGCTGAGCACAGCCCAGAGGAGCAGCACTGTTGCTCTGGATTTCTGTGGTTTATTGTTGAGGCGTTCCCCCCATCTCATACCCCTTTTTTCCAGGTGATGGAGTGCCCCTGCAGTCTCAGTCTGCCAGCTGATGGATCACTGTTACAGCTGGACAGTGATGCTCCAGGGTGCTGGAACCAAGCAGCTGGGCTTTGCTTGCTGCAGCTGCTCCCCACAGCTGTGGTCTGGGCAGAGCAGCCCAGAGCTACACAGATACTGATTCCCTTCTCACTTATTCCACCTCTCCTCAGGTTTTTGGCAGATCTGCCTCATTCTTCTAGCTTTTAGACAGTGCTGATAACAGATCACTGCAGGAATAGGATTCATTTATCCAGAGCTCTTCAAAGACTGGAAAGGATGGACTTCAAAGGCAGGAAAATGGGACACAGTGCAGCTGAACAGGGGAGAAGGGAGGGCATTCAGATTAAATGAGCCCTTCTGTATGCAGGCATAGAAACTGATTTCTGTCTGCCTTTCCTACTGTTGGGCTAGAATAGCAAGGACAAATATAAATTGGGATAGATTTCAGTTGAATGGAAAGTTTAGAGCTGAGCTAGCAGAAAGGCCAGATCCACTGGGGAAGGGGCAGGTGGGTGGGAATGCATGGCTGGAATATGTAACTCCTGCTGTGGCTAAGAGGTCTGGCTCTTCAATACAAGTTCATGTGCTGAAAATACCAAAATATTAGCTGTGAACCTGCCTTCTGCTACCTTCATCTGAGTTCTCTTCCTCTTGTGCTGAAAGAAAGAGGGAGCAATTATCCCAGCATTTATCCTTTTACTGACTATTTTATCTTCCCTCAGGCACCTTTCTCCCAGCTGGCAGGTCCAGTCTATGGTAACTGCTCCACAGATGGAAACTATTCCCTGTTTGATCTTCTTTCTTTGAATCTTTTCCAGGTCTGTCCAGGGGGAAGGTGGGTGGAGGTATGAGATGGACAGATGGAAGAAAGATGACTGACCAAAGCTGGAGCATCCAAAATGTGGGTGAGTATGAGAAGCTACGCTCTGGAATCAGTTTCTGCTTTGTTCTTTACACCTTCTCCAATAATTTTCAATTACTGTTCTGTTGTCCTAAGCCTTAAGCTGATATTTTTACCTATCTCTAATAATTCCAAAATCCTACTCCCAAGCTTATTACTTCACTTTGAGCCCACAATTTAATAGAAAAATTTGTGAAACATTGCTGCACTTTAATTTACTGATCTTTATTTGCTGTCTCACTGCCTTAGCACTCAGCCTTGTAACATCTGCTGTGCCATGAGGAGAATCCTGCAAGTTCCTCCTCCCTTCCTTTGTTTCTGCTGTGGGAAGGGACACAGCCCCCTTCCTGGGATAGAGCTACAGGTAAACACTGACATCTCTCCTTCTCCATCTCTCTGGTATTACCTGGCCAAATACTGACACTCTGTAGCTTTATCTTGACTGGGGAGTTGTCACTACTAATTGCAGGCAAAATCAAATATTCCAATCAGAACTTTCCCTAATAAAGTAAGAGGGAAAAAAGTGAGAGGACCTTTATAGCCCTATTGCAGTGTCAGCACTCAGGGCCACACCTTCCTTCAGGGCTCAGCCTTGCTGCAAACCAGTGAAACTACTTTGCTGTGATTTCATATGAATTACTGCAGGTCACTTCTCACTTATGATGTTTTAATCCTTTTCTGATTTCTGTTTCTGTTGTTTCCCTCATCTCCAAGACTGAACTTGCAAAAGGATATTATGTAGCTGTGTCAGTAACTGGAGCCATAAAATAAAAATAATCAAATGCTTTAGTTTTTTTTAAAAAAGAATAAAAGTTATCATCCGCCAGCCACACCATTGTATCAGAATCACTGAGGGTTCGGACAGACAACGTTATCTGTCCATAGAAAGCATCTCCTATTGAGTTGTCTACACTGACATGATAAACTCCCTCATTAGGTGATTCCCTTCTATCTCTTTTTATGGCTCCCCAGTCTGTAGTATCTTTATGAATACTTTATGCTGTGGTGTACTTATTAATATGCTTCCACAACCTAAATGGCATAATTATCTCAAAAGTTCAATTAAAAAGTAATCTAGTAGGAGGTAGGATTCCCAATTACTGAGTGTGGGAGAGACTCCTATTCTGTTCTCACTGTCTTTCATCTCAGACATAATTGATTTGGTCTTTCTCCCAAATAAAATGCAGCTTTTCATCCCTGTGGAAGAAGGAGAGAGGTCATGGAGACCTGTGGAGCCCACATATAATGATGTCTATTTTTACCTCCACTTTTCTTTAAAGATACAATTAAATTTGTTGTGCACTCAAATTGCAGCCACTATGTGCACTCTCTTATAGACAACACAGAAAAAATAAATTATTTCCATTGCTGTTTATTGTAATTGAAAAACAGTTTTTCTATTTCAGGTTCATTAGCCAGGCCTTTACAAGTGCATTAGAAGTAAAAGAAAATCAATTTACATTTCAATTCTTACAAATGTTTCTCTTTGGAAACTTGTAAATAGGTACTGCCACTCTTTCAGAATATGTCAGAACATTCTGACAGATATAAATTACAGATATTTTGTAATTTAATATTTTTAACTTCAAACTCCAGATCTAATTTCCAGAGACAATAATTGTGGATAGTGCCAGGGCTTTATTAGTAGCCTGCCTTTCTTCCAAGGACTTATTTACAACAGTTATTGTAAAATTGAGCTTTTGAAACTGGAATATTTTCCACTAATGCTGATAAATTAGTGGCACTAAAGAATGAATTGGTTTGCTCCACTTAATTTTTTTTTCCTAGGGAGACACAAAGACAAGTTTTATGTTTTAGGCTTTTCAATTTGACATATTAGCTGCCACAAACTGAGGGTACACATCTATGTTAGTCTCATCCTTCATTATACCCACATTGCTCCTTTTGCAGTGAATTGGCAGGATTTCTGACAAAAATGCCTGTCTTAAGGAAGCTTATTTTGAAAATAATAAGCCCATGCTTCTATCCACAGTGATTTTCCAAAATGTTTTAATGAAATATTAGTCTATCTCCTTATGATTGTTATTTTCATATCACCCAGGTTTTCTCTCTATTAATTATTGGTTTGAGTGTGTGTATGGAGTAGTTCCTGGGCATCTTTCAAAATTGTGTAAACTTTTTTCTTAAAAGGTCTGAAAATAGGCATTATTTGAGATCACAAAGCACTTCCTTATCTAAATATTCCCAAGATTAGATTAGCAGTGAAATAAATAAAATATAATTTCTTTGGCTTTTTTTGTAAAGAATTTATTACAGCCAGATTTCAGAGTGGGGCATAGTTCAATGATGAGAGTGATGGACTTAAAGTCCTTTTGCTGTTTTGAGACTGCACACAGCATCAATAAACATTTTGTGGGATTTGAAATAAATTTAATGGCATTTCATACCCATGGAATGAGAAAATAAGAAGTTTCATGGACCTCTGACATCCCACCTCATCTCCTGACTTGTCTTTTGGAATCGGAGCCCTAAAATTTTGTGTGCAGAAGCTCAGAGCGCTGAAGGCCAGTGTACAACAGGTTGCTGTCTAGGAAAGTGGGAACCGTTTTCTTGGGTATCCCTGCAAACAGGGGCATTTGAATATCCATGCATTAAAACAATATAACCACTGGTTAAAGTTTAGCAACTCAGCCTCAGAATGCTGTTGTGCTGGGAGATATTTCATAGCAACAGCGTTTCAAATGTTTACTGACTTATTGTTTCCTGGCCATTAATGATGGAATACCCCAGAGCCTGTCTGCATTTCCCTCCTGTCAGACGAAGGACGTTCATCCGTACATTTAAATGTTCATCTGTAAATTTAAATCCCTGGTAACTCACAACTTGCTCTGTTGTGAGTTACCAGGGATTGCAGCTCTTTTTATAAGGTGAAATTTGTGTACTGATGGGGAAAATCTCAGATTATCTGTTTGATAAGCTTGTTTCTTTTAACTCTCGTATCCATTTTTTGGATACGAGAGTTAAGAGAGCAGGGTTTGCTCACAGACGGCTTGGTCTTCCTGGCATTTGGGATCGAGTTCCTAAATACAGATTTTGATGTTTTAGGTGTCAAAACAGAAGTGGCTGATCTGGAGTGCGGTAAAGGTTTGCAGCACCGCCGAGGTGAGCAGCGGAACCCCGGCACCACCGAACCTCCCGGCAGGGCTGGAGCTCCCGGCCGGTGAGAGGACACCGCGGTCAGTGGAAGTGAGAATTATTTCAGAGCGTAAAAGCCACACATGGCTCCTCCATCCCGCACCAGGAGCACAGCCCCAGCACCACCGGCTGAGCGTGAGGCTCTGGCACCCCCTGCGGGTGATGCGGCTGTCACACCGCGTGTCCCCGCGGCCGCTCCTGTCCCGGGCTCGCCGCCTGTGGATGCCCCTGGGCGAGTGCAGGGCCGGCCAGCAGCGCGTCCCGTCCCGTCCCGTCCCGTCCCTCCGGGTCCGGCGCTTCCCGGCGCTCCGCCATCCCCGCGCGGGCCAGCGGCGCTGAGGGAGAGCGGCCATGGCCCCGCCCCGGCCCCGCGCATGCGCAGAGCTGACCCGGCAAAATGGCGGAGCTGGAGGAGTAAGTGCGTCAGAGAGGGAAAAATGGAGGGCATGCGGGATCCGCCGCCATCCGCGGGCTGGGGGTGGCCACGGGGGCTGCCCGAGAGGGTTCGGGATGCGGGATGGGGCCGGGATGCGATCAGGATGTAACCGGGTTGTCCCGCCCGCAGGCCGAGACGGCGGATCCCGCTGGTGCCGGAGAACTTGCTGAAGAAGAGGAAGGCGTACCTGGCCATCAAGGCCACCCAGGCCAAGCAGGCGCTGCTCAACAAACGCAAGGTACGGAGGGTCCCGGCAGAGCCTGGGCCTGCAGCTCCAGCTCGTCCTCCTCCGCAGGGAGTCAACAGTTCCGTCCGAGTGGTCGGGCCCCTCAGAGAGGGGGTGTCCGAGCACCGCGGGTGGGCAGGGATCGTCTTCGGGGTTCCAAGGGGGGCTTGAGTCCCTCAACCTCTTCTCCGTGAGTCTCTGAGCCTTGTAAAGAGGACAGAATTGTACTGGTTATTACACCGAAACTAATCAGTGGAAGACTGTGAGTTGTTCCTGTTGGATCGGTGGTGCTCAGGTGTTTGCAGCCACATGTGGGAAACTGCAGCGCTACTGAGTTGTCTCTGCTGCCCTGGGATTTCGCTTACTGAAACCACCTTTGTGTTGAAACCCTGCATGGAAGCCGTGCTTTTCTGAGGGTGCCTTTAGAGTTATTTCTCTGTTAGAGCAGCATAGGTCATGGTGAAGCCTTTTCTGCCTGAGGGGTCGCACATGTCCTTGTGCAGACCCATCCTGTGCACACTGTGCCCTTTCCAGACTGGCAGAGCACAGCAGACCTTTCTAATTCCCAATCTCAGGCCTGTTCTGATGTACCCCAGCTAATACAGTAGGTATCTGTCTTAAAGCTTTCCCAGTGAATCTTGTGGGATTGTGTGCAAAACTCCTGCCATTTTTATTTGATACCATGTTTACATTTTTAAGAGCATCAGTAACTTGCTGTATTTCCAAGGTGGGAGCATAAGCAATAATATTAAATAGCCACTCCTTAAGATTGTCATTGCAAAAAGAATCTTAGTGATGAGACTTTTATTAGATCTGCCTGTTTTGAAAATTCAAATGAATTTCATGGGTGATGTGTGAGGTGAAATAGAACAGAAGACATACAACATTAAATTCTTTAATTTAAAGTGGCCTGCTCGTTTAACCAGTGCAGTATCCTAAATATAACTCTGTAATGCTGTGTATTTTCAAGTCCTATTCATATGAGAAAACACTATAAGTGTTGGTGGATGTACTCATTCCTAACCTAAAGAGAGACATTTAAACATCTGTTTAATTCTAAAAAGGAGCTTTCCATTTCCTAGTAATAATGAAAAGACTTTTTATCAGGTGAGCCAGATGTTCTGTTTAAATCAGCACTATTTAATAGTTACTTGAATGTTTGAAGTTTTTCTTGCATGTGTGTCAGTATAGAAACTGACTTTAAATGCAGTTAGTTTCTCTTGGAGGGTAATTTTGAGTCACACTGGGGTATTGCTGTAGCATCTGTTTTGCCCACATGTTGTTTCTGGCTTTTCCAGTCATTGCTGAGCTGTGTGTGTAGCTATGCCTAGAAGTGTTCCCTGGTCTTTTCCCTAATTTATATTTTTCCTGGGGAAAAACTCTTTGTTCACTGTTCATAAATAACAGTTGTGTGTAAATTCATGTGCCGTCCCTCAGTTCTGCCTCCCTCGGCCTTAGATAATCAAATTTATTTTCTTATTGCTTCCAAAGCTGTAAGGACATTGTTCACTACTTCTGCATTTCGTTTGGCCTTTGAGATGTAAACCTCACTTTGTTTTCCTTTTGTCTGCAGCAGCAGAAGGGGAAGCAGATCCAGTTCAGGCGCCTGGAGACGTTTGTTCGGGATTCGTGGCGCAAACGCCGGGATGACACCCGCCTGAGGCGCATGGAGCAGAGGCCTGGGCCGGCAGCGGCGCCTCAGGAGAGCAAGCTGGCCTTCGTCGTGAGGATTGTGGAGTGAGAGCCTTCCCTTGCTGCTGCCCTTTGTTGTGTCATTTCCACACCGAGGCGGTGGCATCAGCCCAGACATCGCCTTGCAGGTGATGTGAGGCCTTTAGAGAAATGTGGTTACTCATAAGTTCTGTTTTCCTCAGCATTAAGGGGGTGACCAAGAGGGTGAGAAGAGTGATGGAGCTGCTGCGGCTGAAGAAGAATTACACCGGCGTGTTTGTGAAGCTGAGCCCGCTGGCGCTGAAGATGCTGCGGATCGTGGAGCCTTACGTGGCGTGGGGGTACGTGCCCCTCCCCTGACCTGGGGTCATTGGGTTCTCCAGTTGTTATCACAGATTCTTTACTTCTCCAGTAACGGTCACAGCTTAATCAGCTTTATGTCTAAAACTTGTTATTGTCTCTGTTCTCATTGTTCTTGACGTGACTTTGTTACTTTACCACCTCTGCGCAAAGAAGTGGGATGGCTTCCCTCTGCATCATGTGTCTCTGTTACAGAATCTGATTTTTGTTCCTGTACAGACAGCCTAACCTGAAATCTGTACGAGAGCTCATCCTGAAACGAGGCCAAGCCAAGATCAAGAAAAAGAGGGTACCTCTGACAGACAACATGCTGATAGAGGAACATTTAGGTGAGGAAGAGGGTGAGAAAACTGGGGAGAAAAGAGTTAGGTGTTGAGAGTTTACAGTCTGACCTGAAAGGGTGAGACAAAATCTTGCCAAACTGGAGGTCTGGCAATTCTGGAGTCAGTGTGGGGAAAGATGATACAGCTGGACATCTCTTCTCTTTTTTTTTTTTTTTTCCTCATGCAGGGGGCTGTGGTATCATTTGCCTGGAAGACCTTATTCATGAAATCTACTCCACTGGGAAGTATTTCAGGAGAGTGACCAGCTTCCTGTGGCCGTTCCATCTGTCGGTGGCTCGGCACGCGTCGCGGAACAGAGTGGGTTTCCTCAAGGAGATGGGCAAGCCTGGCTTCAGAGGGGATGCCATCAACCAGCTCATCCGTCAGCTCAACTAGTCAGGTGAGCAGTGCCTGCTGGGCTGCTTCTGAGGCTCACCCTGCATTCCCTGTCCTAAGGACAACCAGCTGCCATTGAAGATCAAGGGGGTGCTCCCTTGCTTCTGATGGTCACTCTGCAAAAGTGACCTCAGAGTAGGGGCAACTAATCAAGAGTGTGGGTCCCATTAGGAATCAGCACATGCTGTTGGACACCTCCATGAAGGCTTGGTTCCTGGGAGATAATATTACTTTCTTGTTTATTTTCTTCCCTGTTCTGCAGGGTTTTTGTGAAAATTTCAGGATCTAGGACCTGTTCCTTTTCACATGATCCTTTCATGGACATTATTTACGTGGACTGATCTGTATGCAACTTCTCTTGACTGGTGCCTCTATAAAAGAAGAAACACAGAGATGATGATGGTGGAGATGGACTTTGGGCTGGCCCCTCTTAAAGAAGAAGATAAATTCTGTTTGGTACAAGAATGAGCTTCTTGGAGCAATTTCACTTTTGCATCTCTGTAAAATAAGTGGTTTTATGCTCACTACTGCAGACTTCACTCTTTGATGTGCACCTGCTTCTGGGGGTGAAGGGGTAGTGGAGTCACGATTGTGCTGACAGGTAAAAGAAAACACCAGGGTATTCTTCTGTTACTGCAGCACAAGCCCTAGCAGTGAATAATGTCACTTTTTAAGTGTTTAAGGGTTTGTGTTCCTGATTTTAAGAGTCCTTTTTTGGGCAAGACTTTTTCTCTTTTAAACATCTGCTGGATTGGGACTGTTGGGGGGAATTATTTCCTGGAAATAGGAAAGCCTGAAAAGGTAATACAGTCATGGAGTGAGGTATATGTAATCGATGTTTTTAAAATAAACTTCTGAAATTATATTATTATAACAGAAGGTCCTACATCACTGTAAAAGAGTGGAAAAACCAGTCAAACACTCTGGCTGGAATGAATTTAGTGAAGCAAGTGAAGAAAACCATGGAAGAGTCTGAAAGTTCCAGATCTTTAAATCGCTAATTTCTTCCACTACAGAAATGGGTAAGGACACATGAAGAGTCCGGTGATGTTCAACAAATACAGAAGGCACTGTCATGAGTTCACTGTGACTGTTTAAACTGTTGTTTGAAGACTTAGGTGGGGGCAAACTGTTAATCCATGAATGGATTTCCTGCAGACTCCACACCACTTGGAGACTCAGGAAGGAAACAGTTAAGTAACAAGACAAGAAGGATGCCTTTTGGATGTTACTTGGGTGGCAGTTATAAACTGTTTCATGATGTAGCATTCATAAAACCATCTGAAATACAAAGGACTGCAGATTCTGAATTAGAGAACACTATAAAACTAGAAGCTTTATTCTGTAAAACAAGAATAGAAACATAGAAAATGCTGGACAGACACTACAGACGTACACAGAACAACTTTGTCCCCAGAACTAGAGCCCAGTGGTCATTAAGATACAAGGTTTCATGTCTTTAAAGCTTTCCTGATAAACAGCTGCTTCCATTGCAGAGCAGTACAAGAATTGTTTGGATGATTCATTTTTGGGTTATTTCTGGTAACAAAACAGCCTAGGCTTCTAACATGAAAACTGGCACACTAGGAGTGAGATTATTTTAGTTTAGAGAGTTAGAGAGTTTAAGACTGCTAACAGAGTGTAGTTTAAAAATAATTTTAAAATACAAAGTTACAGGGTCTGAACACAATTCTAGCAGCTAATCCCAGATTTAGGCAGTTTTTTCTAGCAGAGGCACTGGTTTTAACACACCATTGGATTATCTCATACAGTAAAGTACGAATTGACTATGACCTTCTTAAAATTTCTTTAGAAATGATGCCAACTTAGTCTAGTGTCACATTTTCACAGACAGGCATGTTGTCTTTGTGTCATGCTTTATCAGGAGGACAGTAATGATGTGCTCATAGCTTAGCTGCATGATGAACGGAACCTATACAAGGTGACAGGACAAAACTTGCCCCTGCATCTTAGGGAACAGAATCCTTCTTGTAAGCCACCGTGGTGTTGACTTTGTGGATTGTGGTGGTGAAGGAGCGCAGCCGAACCTCCTCTGAATTGGCTATGAACTGTGGGCCTGACTCTTCCCACTTTGCTGGCACTGCCAGGTCTTTATCCGTGTAGATCAGCAAGTCAAAGGCACCTGGGGGCAAGGGAGAACAAATTCACCATAAGGAGGTGGCAGGTTTGAAGCACATCTTCTAGAACTTGAGACAAGGACCAAGCTTTACAGAAGTTACACTGATACTAGTTATGTGAAAAAAAACAATCGTTAAAATAAGATATTCATATGAGGCCATTATAGTTTTCTCAAAAACTAAATTGTGTTGTAAATTTTTTTAAAGTGTGTCTGTATAACACTTCATAGGAACAAATTATTCATGAAAACTTGTATTCCTCAGGGCGTACATATTTAATTTCCTCAAGTTCATTAAGCCACCCAGAGTTCTGTCCTGATCTCAGTCTAACAACGTACTGTCTCACAAACCTGATGGTACACAATGTGTAATAGTCAAAGAGCCTCAGAAAACCAGAAAATATTTTCTAAAGTTGGAAAGTTACTGAGGTTTTTCAAAAGCATTTTATTTCTTTAGTGCAGTTTGGGATACTCACAGGCAGATTCCAAGAGTGGCAGGAAGGTTACTGTGGCAGTTATTTGTCTGATGACAGAGCGAATTTCATCCTGAATTGCCTTCTGAGATTTCTCCCGTGGTCCACTGGAAAAATAAGAAAACTCTGGTAAGAGAAGTTTGAAACTTCTACTGTGCTGACAGTTTCCTCTAAATACAGTTCTCTTTGTTAAGCTCTGGTAGTTTGCTACAGTATTTTTAGAGGAATAGTGACACTTTAGAAAAAGTTAAGTGATAGCTGCTCTGCCTTTATTGTTGTTTGTGTGTTCAGTTATATAATGACTGGTTTGCAGAGGGTAGAGCACTGAGAAAGGTTTGAAGGCACAAGTCCATGGCATTGATCCTGTGCCTGCCCCGGTACTCACTTGTCATCCTTTGCAGTTTTGTCACACTCGATGTCAAACTGCCACCGCTCCAGGACCTCGCTGCTGTCGATGCTGGAGATGACCACCACCAGGCGCTGCACGATGCACTTGTACAGCCACTCTGCAAGAAGCCAGGGCAGCGCTTAAGGGGCGAGAAGCGGCGGCGGGCACACCGCGGGGAGGGCCCGGCCGCCGGCCCGCACCTTTCATCTGCTCGGTCACGTTGTTGAGGTAGTTGGCCAGCTCGGGGTCCGTGGTGACCAGCAGGGTGAGCCCGTACTTCTGCACGCGGGTGAAGGTCTCGGGGGGGTAGATGCCCCGCTGGTACAGGATGCTGTTGATTCCATAGGCTGCACGATTTACACGGAGAGGGAAAGGGATGTGTACCGCACCCACCCCAGGCCCCACCGGCGGCCATGTCGCTCCGCAAGACGCGGCCTCCCACCCCTTCACCTCCCCTCCCACCCTCCTTCTCTCCCTCCCTCTCTCGCAGCGCGGTCCCCGCGGCCCCCTCACAGAAGAACTCGGCGACGAGCTCGGCGCTGCCGCGCAGGGTGATGCCCTGGTGCTCCCGGCCGAGCTGCTGCTGCGCCGCCATGGCCGCCGCTTCCCCGCCGCCCGGTTCGAATCTGGCCCCGCCCCCACCTGGCCCCGCCCCTTCCCGCGCGCGCAGCGCCGCTGAGGGGGGCGCGCGCCGCCTCAGGCCACACCAGCGGCCTTCCCTCCGGGAATCGCCGTTCCCTGGGCCCCTTGCCCGTGAAAAACGGGCGGCAGCTGCGGGCTTCCGTGGCTGCCTGGCGGGAAAGAAGGGGTTTTTCCGCCACGTTAAACTGCCCGGCCGCTGCCGATGCCGTTGCGTGTGTGGGCGGGGCTGAGGGGAGCGCGGAGCGGGGGCGGAGCGAGTGAGGTGCTCTGCCGTGGGAGTGCTGTGCGAAGCTGCGTTTCAGCGTTTCCAAGGTTATTCGACTTTACGAGCCTAAAAATGGTACTTTCCAGTTATGAATTGAACAAATCCTTAATTTATTATTTATTGGTGGCATTCATGGTGTAAGTCATGCAGTTGCTGTTTCAAATAAAAAATACTCGTCTGCAAGCAGAAGAAGCAGGCGGGGTGAACGTGGGAAAGTAGGATAAACAATTTTTCTTTCAATCCATAATAATTCCAGAAGTAATTTTTAAAAAAGGGTTAAGAAGCATTTGGGTTATTGGTCTGCCTTGGTGGAGGGAATTTGCTACTTGGTCGAACAACTTCAGTCCTGTTACTACAGGGTGACCAAGGAAGATGTGGCAGCCAGCAGTGGCCATCACCTGGAGGGAGCTGTGGCAGAGGTTAGCAGGTAAGAGAGGCTGAGCAAACCAAGGAAATGTTGAACTATGTTAATAATAGGAAGTGGAGAAGTTATGATCTGTTGGAATAGTAGCAAGGTGGCCAGCTAATTAGGTTATAAAATCAATTATAGGCAAGAAAATGAAGATTAATGGCTTTGCTGGGCACAGCATAGCTGCAAATGAAATTATTCCCTAAATGTGATTTTTCCAAAGCATCATCTGAGGCATACTTGTGTTAGATACCCATATTGCCCTTGAAAGAAACAAAATGAACAGTCTTAAAATGAAGTTGCATTCAAACTACAAGTATTTATAATGAGGATAAAAACCACATGGTCATTACACAGTACAGTGGGCCAAATGCTAAGAGAGTGAATTGATGGTGTCATTGCTTATTTTATTGTAATAAAACACATTTTCACAAGAGCTTAGGCTTTCTCTTGGCTGCAGTTTGGATCCAAGAGGAAGCATGGTTTTCCTCAGGGGTCAGGCTGCTGTGATTAAAACAAATGGTATAGTCCTGAAGTTATGTGCTGAAGTTCTGCAAGGGTCTGAATAATTTAATTTAACCATGGGAAATTTATTTTGGATCTTGTTCACTAGTGATTGTGTTATACATAATTCTTCTGAATAAAATATTTTCTGAGTAAGAGTGGTATATTCCCAAGGTTGTAATAATGGAAGCATTTTTACAACCTTGGAAATAGACTAAAAGCTTAACTTTTAGAACTTGGATTGCTGTGAATATCAGCTATTTTGCTTAAAATCGTATGTACTACGGTGCTTTTATTTATCTATCCCAAAATGGTTACAGTCCTCTGGGTTTTTTTCCTACACTTAGCTTCTTGTCCATTTTGCTTTTGGAGAGCTGCTCATTCTTGTGATAAATAGAATAACTTGAAAGCATGAGACCAGGCAAGAATAGCAGAGCTTTTGGTTAATATTTAAGATATTTCTCCTGTAGCTGTTTTACCAGACAGAAGAAAGGAATCCAGGTGTTTCTTGTTTAGCAAGTTGACGTCCCTGTGTTTCAGTTTGGATGGTTTGCACACACACAGGTGCATATGCTTATCAGCAGCAGACTCAATTGCTTCTTCACTGCTGCTGCCAAGATTTACCTGGCAGGCACTGAGAGTGCTTGTGACCTCTGCTAGAACTCTGAGCTTCCTGCACCTGGCATTTCAGAGTTTTGGGTCACTTTTCTCTCTCTGGTGCTGTGCCACGATTGGCACCAGGTTTTGCCCTGGTGTGCTCCCTTCTCCAACACCTTTGCATTTTGTGCGATTTGCACAACCTTTGGGATTTTGTTGTTTGTTCTGTGGTGTCAGTAAGCTGCAGCTGCTGTG